TTATCTCTAAATGTCTTAATATATAAAATTATCTCTAAATGTCTTAATATATAAAAATGTCTACATGTCCCAACCTTCTAACAAGGACGAAGTGTTTTCCACTGGGAGGAGTTCTTGCTTCAAGTCATTTTCAGCTGTTGTAGGTTTCTGTTTACAGGTTAAGGAAAGATGGCTTTACAGGTCCTCTCCTCCAGCAACCAAACACATTTATTTTACATACAACCAGGGGGAAAAAAACAGAAAAACAAAAATGCACCACTCTGCTGATTCCACTTTCAAAGGCAACCAGAGACTAGTTTCCCAGTCAGAGTGCAGATGACACACTGAGTAGGTATTTTGGGTAAGCGCCTTGTGAATTGGTGAGTGTTAGAAATTTCCTTTGTTTCCCTTTAGTGTGAGGTGGAATGGGAGTGAAGGAGATTATTTTCTTCAGGAACTGTTTTCTGTCCCCCACAGGCAATCTTCAGTGTCTACGCCTATCTGTAGACATGATTTAGCGTGCATCTCCTCCTCTCCTCCGTTCCAGCCACCACAGCAGCACGCAGCCACGGTTTCAGCTACTGGGAAAAGTGCCTGGTTGCTAATATGATTTCCTCTCACCATCATGGCTAGCAAGAGGCCTTTAAATACAACAGAGGAAAGGTGATTTGGTGGTTTCACAGCTCTCCCTTTATAGTGACTGCTTAGATTCATTTGCAAATGGTCAAATTTACACAACAGATTCTGGAAATGGAGGGTAAGGTTAGCACATTATTTTTATTTCCTTTTTGCATGGTGTTGTGAGAGAGGGGAGTTTTGTTGTTTCAGAACCTGCAGCAGCTTGGGTAGTGTACTGATTTAACTGGGTGACATTTTTGCAGTCTGCTATTGGCTAACTGGATGGAGACTACAAATTGGCTCATTGGGTTCTCTGCCTCTCTCTGCATTGCAAAGTCTGCGGTGGGAAAGATGATTGCACAGCCAGTTCCAGAACAGATCAGAAAAAAATGCCATATGGAAATGCCCAAGACCAAGACTTTTTCCCTGTCATCCCAGACAGCAGGATATGGAATAATGGTCAAATTACAGGAACACAGATTCAAGCTGAACGTTATGAAAAGCTTCCTAATGGGAAGACCAGCTAGAACTAATTATGAGAGAAGGTATGTGAAGGGGCAAAGCCAGATCACCATCTGTTGGGGATGTTTTGATTTGAATTTCTGCACTGAGCAGACCATTGGTATCAATGGCCTAAATGGCCCCTTAGGTATGGATAATTCTGCAAAGCATTCCCAGGCAGATGCACTGATTTTGGATTATAGGAAAGAACTTTTAAATCAGAAGTTGGGGATTAGAGGCTTATCTGAATCTTGAGGCTTTCCATTTTACAAAGGTAACCTGGAAACATAGCCATCCACAGGACAAAAGCAGGGTTGTGCTGTTGTGATATAAGCTTCACCTACATGCAATACTGAAATTGCATACCATTTCAATGAAATATCAAGTACTGGATTGTTTATTTTCCCACTAGATTTTTTTTCCCATAGACCTTCCTCCAAAGTATGCAAGCCATTTCATTAACAGTTGTCATGACAATCACGCCTGACATAGTTTGCTGCAATAAAATATTATATTTTAAGAAGTTTAGTATCAGGAAAAGCAATGTTCTGGGCTTCAGTGTCTCATGACAGTGTTCAGTACAGCAGATAATAGGCTACAGTTCTAGGAAATAATACTCAGTACCGATAAAATGTATAATATACATTCACAGTGTAGATGGAAAATCTTAAGCATCATAGTCTTATGCTTGCTGATTAAAAATAAGTCTTCTTTGTGCTCAATAAAGGCTTACATGGGTATATGGAATCAGGAATACAGAACCTACTGAAGCATCACAATATTAACAGATAGGTTGACTGTGAGACAACAAAATCTCGCTTTTCTACCACCAACATTTGGCTCAATGAAATTGCTGAGATTTTATTGTAAAGGAGCCCAATCCTAAATAAGCAAGAAGATATTCCCATGGGCCCTTTTTAAAAGCATTGTTGAGTCTCCTCTCACAGATTTTCCTATTTTTCTTCCCACAGACACTTTGTCCTCCTTCAGCACCCTTGGTCTTCAACTATTTTATAAAGGGGATTGCATTGCAGCAAAATCTGGGATATCCTGAGGCTGATACCTATCCTTTGTACTTGGGATCATTCAATGTATACCACACAAACGAATGCTCTCACTCGTAAACACAAGAAATAGCAAGCCTGATGACAACCATTTATTGTCCAAGGGAGTAGAGGAAGAATCTGCAAAACAAACATTCTCAATTTCTGTGAAATCAGCAGGACAGCAGTTTTCATAACGTAATAGAGGATTAAAATGCTACTGTAATTTCCTGATCAAATACCTCAGTCAAATGCAGTTGTAAGGTTTCTCTCCTCATTCCCTCTTTAAAAACTTTTTCAGTGTGTGTGATGAACTAAAATATTTGGATGACAGCAATATCCTCAGTATTTGATCAAGAATAAAATATCCTATATTCATAATGTGAAGCCTATGGAATCAGAGACCCCACCCCTCCCATTTTACCTTATGGTGATGATCTGTCCAAAATCCAATTCATAATTGTTCACTTGGGCAATGAAAATAGCTGCTACTGCTTCATATAGGGCTGTTCCATCCATGTTGATTGTAGCCCCCACTGGGAGCACAAATCTAGCAATTCTCCGATCCACATGGTTATTCTCTAATAAGCACTTGAAGGTTATAGGCAAAGTAGCTGAACTGCAAGAAAAATGCAGGTGGTTTAGAGATTTGCTTTAGTAAGACACTTAAGGCAAAATTATTTGCTCTGATATTCCTGAAACGTTATTGGGTACAAACTAATACATAAATGATCTGATGCATTCAGTATCTTAGCTGATAATAATAAAGCTATGAAATAAATGAGTTATATTATTTAAGGGGAAGAGATGCACAAGCTGTAGCCCACCAGAGTGTTGGGAATGTCTCCCTATTATTTCCCAGAGTTTCTTGTCATCAACAAATTATCCCCCCAACATTGATCCTGTCTCTCTGTTTTGTTCTGTTGCTTTCTCCCAATACATGGAAATTATGTTTGTATAAGTATATAACATAATGTGTTTTAGATCTTTTGCTTTTTTCACATGCTATTTAATTTATTTTTAAACCTGGGTATTAAATAAAATGTGAGGGAATGGGAATAATTATAAATGCATGTGTAAGAGAGATTTTAACCAATTACATTTTAATAATAAAAAATAATAGTATTAATTAGCTATACTTTGATGTTCATTCCCCATCCATTTTTCAAAATTTAAGTGGACTGATTGCAATACAGCATCTGAAATTGTGTTCAGTGGATGATGGTATCCTTGGCTCATCAACATTTGCTTACCAATGCATTAAGAGAGCCAAAAAGATGAAGGGCTTAATTCTGTACAACCTTCTCCCAATGCAGTTTTCCCCAAAGATCATAACTTGATCTGTAAGCCACGGTGAAATGGAACTAGATAATGGACTAGTGGAGTTAGTCCTTTTGAAGTATCATGTGCTAGGATCAAGCACATAAGAAGTGGGGTTGATCCTCTCAAAATAATTGAGTTATGTCTCTGGGTGGCATTGACTACAACTCTAAGTCTGAAAAAGCAGCTTCTATTCATGTAATGCAGAACCCAAATCAGAATAGATACAAATGGCTTTATCCAGAAAGCACTTAGCCCACAGGTCACTGTCAAACAGCAAAGGATGGGATTTGGAATATTGCTGAATATTAGAGGTATGTGGTATTTAGTAGCATTTCTCTGCCTTTCCTGCAGTAGTTTTGCAGAGACCCATCTGCTCACCAAATTTTCCTGGGCCAGCTGCATTCTTTATCATAGTCTACATCATATCTGACATTTTACCATATAATCATGCAGTATGGTTGGAATTTAAAATCATAGGTGGAAATGTTAGAATTTAGGAGCTGAAGGATTAGAAACCCCTGTAGCATGAGGGCCTAAGGGACAGAAATTGGAAGGACTGAAGCCAGATGAAAAAATAGGACTGCAAGATTCCAGCAATGATGGATTTTTAAAAGTTGTGACAGCAACTGGCAGGCGCCTACCTGACCTTTGCTAATCACGAAAAAGCTAAGCAGTGTTAAACTGGGATACAGGAGGGATGGATAACTACCAGGAAATTGCAGGACCATTGACGAGATTGGGAATGGAAACAACCTGTTGTAACAATGGCAGTGGTAAACTACTGCCATATTAGTGCTAAGAAAATTACATGGACGTGTCCATGATATCACCAGGATTGAAACATGACTTGAGAGAAACATCTTTTTTTTAAAAAATTAAGGAAGTATTGCTCTAGAACTTCACTCACTGCATCAAGTACCTGGATGAGGTGGCCAAGGCGATAAGCAGCGCTTGAAGAATCCCTCTGATAAAGACAACAGGATTCTTCTTGGTGATGAAGAAATACATCATTGGCAGAATAAAAAGTCCATGAACAACTAGTCCACAAACTACAGTAATAGCATAAAATCCTAGTTTCTTCCCAATGGCTGATGGATCATCCATTTCCAAGATCTTACCAGCAATAAGGAATACTATTCCAAATGGAAAATACCTGAAGGAGAATAGAGACATATCCTATGTACAGAATACATCCAGATAAAAATAGAAGGAAAACAAAAACAAAAACAAATGAATGGAAATGTGAGAAAGTGTAATATTTTGGTGAAAGTATTGCAACTGGACTACAGAGGCCTAGGCACAAGTCCCCACCTGACCAGAGTACTCGCTGAACAACTTTGGCCAGCTCTACCCTCTCAGCCCAATCTTCCCTACAGGGTTGTTATTATGGGGATAAAATACAGAGAAATCCCCATATAGGTTACCTTGACTTCCCAAATGAAACAAGAAATAGAAATGCAATAAATACATAAATTCATCCTTGGAATACCACAGATATTATTGCAAGACAAAATAAGTCTTACCCTGTATTTGCAACACAATTTGGCCTAACCAGCTGTACAGGTGAATCTCCCTTTTGGCAGAAGTGCTATAGATGTATATCCTTGTGGTAGGGACTCATCACTTGTAGTTTGATTAGTAAGAAATTGCTTTGAAACAATGGGCTGAGGAACCCTAATTTCTATCTCTTCCATATGTGCAGAGAGTTTCACTCTTAGTGTAGGCAGAACCCCAGCAATCTCATGCATTGGGCACGACAAACATCAAGACAATATTTACGTGGCATTTGACTTCTGACTGAAAACATCCTGCGAGCCAATGCTTACAAATATCTTCTTTAAAGGAGAATGCACACAACCCTGTACATGTAATTTAGAGCCCTTGATTACTCAGCAACCCATTCAGTTTATGTAACCTGATTTCACTGCTGATCACATACTTTTATTTGCTAATATTTATTTCCCTTGACATTTACTTACCATACAGCCACAGCCACTATCTTCATGACTGATTCATTTAAACACTGGCAAAAACTGACCAAGGGAACTCCACTGTCACCCATCCTGCCCAGCATTATTCCTGCAAATATATAAATGTCTTAGTTTTACCATATTTATCTTCATTTGAACTTCTATAATATACAGTGGGCCCTTCCTCACTTGCACCTAGCCATGATACGAACATGCTCTGGAAACAGTTTTTTTTCTGCCATATTCCCACAACATCTCACCCTCAGCCCATGAATGAGACAGGCTTAAATCATCCTTGGCTGTAACCATGTTGAAGTTGTATTGCCCCCATTCTGATACCATCTAAGAGCAGCCTCAAGTATAGAATCAATTAGGGTTTGTTATTAGGGAGGGAATAACCAACAGTGACCAACCAATCTCCCAGTGGCCAACCAATTGCCCAAGGAAGCCCACTAGGTTCTCAAGCAGAGGGAGTTGCTGCATCACTCTAATTCATGGGTTCCTGAGACTAATTTAGCAAAAGATATATTATAATCAAATGGCAGGTGGATAGTTATACTTCAGATCCCTGCAAAGAAAACTAGTCTCATGGAGAACTATCAAGGTTTATTGGTCTTGAAGAGCCAAAGTAATCTCTGGGTTGGGGGCAGCTTTCCTCTAAATACCAGTTCAGGGGAACAAGATGGAAGATGGAAGATGGCTATGTCTTGCAAGAACTCCAGAGAAACCTTGTGGGCCACTATGAGGAACAGAATTTTGGACTAAGGTGAGCCTTGGGGCTGACCTAGCAGGCTGTTATGTAAACCTTGCTGGGCTATAAAAATAACTATATGATACACTGAAAGCTTCATAGTTTAAATTTCACTGACATGACATTTCAACTGCCATTCTACCAATAAGGAAAGTTTGTTTGTTCGTTTATGCAATTTCCGTAGCCGCCTATCTCAATCCATGTGACTCTTAAAAGATTATGCATAAATCTTTTAAAATGTTACAAAAACTGCTGTAGTTCACCGATGAAATAATAGTTTTGAGCCAAAAACTGGTGGTGGAGGGATCAATAGCTAAGTTTTGTTGGGGATAAAAACTCTAGGAATGATTGGTGTAGCACCCCAGTGGGCTACTGATTTACAGTAGATTTTGAAAGGAAATACTTTTGTTATAGCTCCATGGTCCTCCAATAACTCATTTTATAGTACATTTATTTGCTTATTTTAAGAGGACTGAACAATATACATCCTCCAAATTTTTGTATGATTCCAACCCCCTTCTGGTTGAGGTTATTCTTACTTCTGTTTTGGGTACAAGGTAAATGCTCTTACAGCATTTCTTTTTCACATTTAAAGAGCTTGAGGCACACTTCAAATGGTTGCTGGGAGCCTCCCTCCCCTTTTCTCTGACAGTTGAAAAGATCTCTTTCTGGTTTTAAAATAACAGTTTAAAAGTGCTGCCAACTAACAGCAGAGCTCTCCTTTGTGCACTGACTGCAGCCTCTTGGACTGGCCACGTGACATGATTGTCTGGTAATTCCAGGAAGTACTTAACAAGGCCTTCTGAATGAGCTCAAGGCTACTCTTAAAGCACAGTTTTTATAGGGGAGGCTGAGTTTTCTTGGGGGGAGGGAATGATAAAATGCTAGGGAAAAATATCTCAAACCAAAAAGGAAGACAGAGTCTTTCAACAGTATGAAGCTATTGCTAGAATGCCAGGCTTCTTAAAAATTACAACTGTAAAAGAAACCTCAACCACTTTGTCCATTAAATACAGGTAATCCTTGTTTAGTGACTGTTCACAGTTACAACGGTGATAACAAAGTAACTTTACAACCAATCCTCGCATTTATGACCTTTGCAGGTCTATAAAGCAAACGAAAGCTGAAGTAAGATCATAAGCACAGTCACGGTTTCACTTAGCAACTGCTTTGTTTAATGACCAAGTTGCCAGCTAAACAAGGACTACCTGTAAATGTCAGAAAAGGCTCTGTTAAGCCTATTTATTCAATTAAAAATCCTCTTGAAAACCTTTGTACAGTCTTCAGGCATCTTGCTAGGAGTGCCAAAGGACAAAGATTTTGATTGATTACTATAACTTCCTGTCTTAGAAGTGGAGCAGCTGTCTGGATCCTGAACACATCTTCACCTGAAAAGGCTCGAATGACTTCTCTGCAGATGGAATTGCTACATGTTTGCTCCAAATGCTCTGATGTACTGCTGGATGCCTTGAGATGTCCCTCTTTGGAAGATGTGGTCCACTTCTGTTTGATCATTCTAGCTAAGTTTAGGCTTTAATAAAATTCATATCTTTCAAACCAGAGACAATTCAAACTGGCTATAAATCATGCTCAGCTAGTCAAATGTTCTGCTGCTCTCTAGAGGACATTCTAAAAAGTGCTGGACTGATTCTCCCAGGGCAATTCAATATTCAATACCATTCTGTTTAAAGCAAACTGGAAAAGATGTTTCAGAGTTTCATGTCAGTATTCAGACACTGGCAACCTAGAGAAAAGTTAGATCCACAGTGTTTGAATTACAAAAGTGCCTGATAAAATCCATAGGTGCTCCCTTTGCCCCCAGTGTTAGAAAATCATACAAAAGGCAAGGAGATCTGGTCTCCCCTTTAATATGAACTCTAAAATTTTTATATAAAAAAAAATTCCCCTCTCACCCCTATGGGTGGTACGTGTCTTCCTCAATCTCGGGTCCTCTACCAGTGGCCTGGGAGTTTGCTGATGTTGCTGTCACTTGGCACTGCTACATCTATCACTACCGCTGTCTTCTGGTCTTTGTCTACTAGGTCACGGAGAATATATATAGAAGATCGTGGAGAATATATATTCTGTGGAAATGAATCATGCTTAATTTACTGACTGTATGCTATCTTTCCTTCTGGTGTGCATGTCTCCAAGCCAGTTTTGACTCCTGGCAACTGCCTGGACAAGTCCCTGCAGTTTTCTCAGCAGCCTTTTTGGAAGTGGTTTGCCATTGCCTGCTTCCTACAGCTGAGAGAAAGTAACTGGACCAAGGTCATCCAGCTGGCTTCGTGCCTAAGGTGGGACTAGAACTCAGAGCCGCCCACTTTCTAGCCTGATGCCTTAACCACTACACCAAAGTGCCTCTCACTTTTTCCTCGCAATCCCCTATCGAACATGGTAAGACTATTATTTTACTTTCGTCATGGATACTGCCCTTTCAATCCGGCAGCCCCAAGACAACATCCCCAATTTTTTCACGTTACTTAGAAATGTTCTTTAACCTGCCCACTTTGCTATTTAAACTATGTATTACAGTTCTTCGTAGGTGTCTCCAAAAAATAAGACTAAGAATTAGCCAATCAACCGATACCTAGATATGCAATTTCCCCTTTTGACTGAAGAACCAAATGCCTTGTTTGCAGAGAAGTAGTTGCTCCCAAATGACTTGTTTTTAGATAAAGATATACCAGCAGATGAAGGCAAGTATCCATGATTCTTGTTTAACAGCACACACTTTCACCCATTGGGTTAACTATGCGTGACCTAGCCCAGTGTTGTCCAAACTTGGCCACTTTAAGATGAGTGGACTTCAACTCCCAGAA